AAATATAATAAAAATGTCTATGCAGTGAAGCATTTTTTTTCCAAAAATAAATTAGAGTTGCGAACTAGTGCAATATTCAATTTGCTTCATATTATATGATCTATATTGATTTAATTAAGATTTAACTAAAAATATATTTTACTTAATAAATCTCACTAATAATATTTTAAAATTCTAAATTTGAGCACCACTACTATTACTTTGTATAATTATTTAATATTAAAAAAATAGAGAGAAAATATACTCCATCTATTTCAATTTATATGATACTTTTCATTTTTTTAAAAGTTAAGTAATTTATGTTTAATTGAAAATTTACAAATGAAATTTTCTTTTTTTAAAATAAAATTTATATATTTGTAAACTACGTAAAAACACTATAAATTACAATAGTTAACAATTCAAAATAATTAAAAAATATATGAAAAATTTACATTTATATTCAATGTGTAAGAAGTAGTAATTTTTCATAATTACGTAAAATGAACAAGTAAATTAAAATAACTATTTTAATATAAAGGCTAGAAAATATTAAACACCATATATGAGAAACTTTCTTACAAAAATGTCACGTAAATTAATACGAAAGAAGTGAATTACAAAAAGATTTGACAGTTTTAATCCAACGGTGGAGAAGAAATCATTCAATCTATCCAAAAAAAAAATAATCAAAACCCTAAAAATCTACCCAATCCCATTAGGTTTTTCTCCCACCATATAAATAGTCCCTCACGTGCTCTTCGCCTCCCTCGCCACCCATTCTACTTCCTGAATTTTTCTCCTTCTCCTTCTCCGTTCAATCGAATTTTTCAGCCATGTCTGACGAGGAGCATCAATTTGAGTCTAAGGCTGATGCCGGAGCATCAAAAACTTACCCTCAACAAGCTGGTACTATTCGTAAGAACGGTTATATCGTCATCAAAGGCCGTCCATGCAAGGTTACTTTTTTACATATATTTAATTTATTTGGTTATAGCTGATGTATAGGGCTGTTCGTGTAGTTAATTAAGATGTGTGTGTTGGATTTGATTTAGATAAGGATTGATTTGCTAATTTTTTTTAAAAAATTTATTCATGTATGTGTGATTTATTTGGTAATATGATATCTATAGGGTTGATTGAGATGTGTTTGGATGAGATTTAGAGGATTACATGGTGTATTTGCTGTTGCGGTTGTAGATCTGATGCTCTGTGTTTTTTACTCTAAGTGTGTTTGATTAGGAAGTTGTTTTTTCGGTTGTGTAAGTAAGTTTGATAGTAGATGAAGCGATCACTGTAGCGAAGTAGTGTAATAGGCTGAAAGGACTGTATATAATCTGTCTATTTGCTTAATTTGATTCACTAGCATCTTACTAGCTAGTGAAAAAAGGAACCTTGTTTTCTTACTATGGGATATGCAGTGGTTTTTTTTTTGTACTTTTTTTGGGATCGTGGACCTGGTGACTGGTTTATAGACTTGTGTAGTTCTATTTCTGGTTTTGATTGCATATATTCTTTGGTTTGTTTGTTAGAAGAAAGGAATATGGGTTGCTTGTATATTTTGTGCAATTATGGTAGAGTTATTTTTTATAGTAGATTTTGTCTTACTAAGAAATAGAGTAGCGTTATGTTAAACAACCTAAACATGTAACTATAAGATTTAGGGTTAGAGGGTTACCACCAAGGTATCAAGGGTGGGAAAGGGTCACTTTTGGTTTGGATGGTTATCATCTATTGTATTGTATTGTTTTGTTAGTTTAATTACAGTTTTATGATATTGTATTGTCAAATCTATCTTGTTGGTAATGACAATAAGTTCCATCATGTGTAACAAACTAACAATTATATCTGTTTATTCTTTGAATGTTATCATGTGATATTATATAATAATGTAAAGCCATACAATTTATGTAAATGTTGTATTCATTAAAATAATATAGTACAGTACAATACAACACAACTCAATAACTTATGTAATTAACATTCATTAAAATAATATAGTACAATACAATACAACTCAATAACTTATGTAATTAACATCCAAATAGAGTAATTTTTTAGTGGTCTTACCAAAGAGAAGTGAAACACAAATAGATTTGATACCTCACCAGAGGTCCTTAGCTTCTAAAAACTCTTAGTTTATTTTTCTGCTGTTTGGTATGAACATTTCTAATGTTGAATATATTTATCCATAGATCTAGATGTGGATTATATGTTGCTTTAGTTTGAATTATGTAACTGTTTAAATGGTCCTTGTGGATGTATCATAGTTATGGATGTATATGTGGATAATGTGCAGCAAGTAACTTGATGATTCTGCTTCAGGAAATTGCATAGATGTATCTCCTTTTATTATGGTTCAAGTCATTATTACATTTATCTAGTATAAGCACTAGCTCTAAAGCTGATACTTCTCATTACAGGTTGTGGAAGTCTCTACATCCAAAACTGGCAAGCACGGTCACGCCAAATGTCATTTCGTTGCTATTGACATCTTCACTGGGAAGAAGCTTGAGGATATTGTCCCCTCTTCACACAATTGTGATGTGTGTGCTCTCTGTTTCTTGTTTATGATCTTTGCCCCTTTTCCCCTATATTCCTTTTATCTTTATATTTGTGCTGATATTTGACAATTACGTGTTCAAATTGCAGGTGCCCCATGTTAATCGTACAGATTATCAGCTTATTGACATCTCTGAAGATGGATTTGTATGTGCCTTTATTCCCTTATCCGGTTCCTTTTTATATTTTTGATTGATGTGGTCTAATATTGCCGCACAACGTTACAGGTGAGTCTGCTTACTGACAATGGTAACACCAAGGATGACCTCAGGCTTCCTACTGATGAAAATCTGCTTTCACTGGTTAGTAATCTAATCTGAAGTTGTGTTTTCGGTGGCCCTGAAGGACCGGAAATTACAGTCACTTCCTCTTGTCGTATTTTGTTTCCCCCAGCCTTTTATTTTCTCAGTAAATCTTCTTCTAGCACAAGCTTATTGCCTTTGCCATGTTAAAAAATGAATTTGTTTGGAGTCGTGGTTGTGTAAGAAACACAACCTGTGTACAATTAAGCCGATGCTCCGGACATTTAAAAATGAAGGCAGCATGGTTATGTGCACAGAGATTGAATTAGCAGAGTCGACATGTCTGCTCCCTCTGATACCCCTTTGAAGGGTTAATGATTTGGGGGCCTGGTTTTAGACTCACATTTTCTTTATCTACGAAAGTTGTTTTGGGTCAAAGTATATGCGGTCTTCTCAGTTGTATGTAGCCTTCAATTCTTTCTCAAGCTTCTCGAATCCTTATGGTAGAAGTTAGCATGTACAACCATGGTTGTAAGTAAAAAAAGCTCATTGATAGTGAAACATAATTTTTTCAGAACTTTGTTGGTTATTTTTCTTTTGAAAACTTCAGCGTACTTTGATGCAGCTACTGATTATTTTTTAACTTTCCGAATTCAGATCAAGGACGGGTTTGCCGAGGGTAAGGACCTCGTTGTGTCTGTTATGTCAGCTATGGGTGAGGAACAGATTAATGCTTTGAAGGATATTGGCCCCAAGTGATCTCTTGATTGGATGGATTGCTTGACGCGATGGTTCTTTACGACCTTGAGTGAGATAGATATTTATAGTCATGGAAAAAAATTGTGATCTTATGGAATATTCGTATCATGATTTATGGACCATTGTGAGTTAGATTTTTATTTATGTTGTTTTAAATTGTGGTATTCATCTGGAATTTTGTCCTACTAAAGTTTTTTTTATTTGGTGTGGGGGAGATCTTTAACCTGCAGTTATATACCATCTTCTTCACCTATTTTGCTGCTTCATTACTTCAAATTACAGGAATTATTCTATAGTTTCTCCTGCATATATTGGAGTAATAGTATACACATTTTGAACTATCACGTTATTTCGATGTCAGATTCATCGATATGACTGAAGTAGTGGTTGGATTTTGAGTAGAAATGTACGCATCAGAAAATAAGATAAAAAAACTTGAGAATAATTATTGGCAAATATAAAAAAACTTGAGAATAATTATTGACAAATAGGAATTGTGTAACTCAAAACTTTACCTTTATATTACACGCTTGATATAATTGATTCACGTACAAGAAGTAAGTACTCAAAGAACATATGCACTTTATAATAATTGTATTCGTTGAGAATGACACATTCTTTAACTTTCTTTTTTCTTTGTTTAGTTAGTTTTTAAATAATGATATATTTTTATTTTGAGTAACAATTTTACTTCATATTACACATACATACAAATTTTTATCATTTATTGTAGACTTAAAATTTTAAAAGTCTTTCTATCTTAAACTTCATTCAAATCAAATTAACTCACACAAAATGAAAATGAAATAGTGGAAGTAACCTTTTTTTGGGCAAAAAATGGTAACATACACACACAAGGCAAAAAAAGATTATAATGAAATGCAACATTGATACAATTGTATTCATTGATACAAATTAAGAAATTAAAGAATTAATTTGTTGGGAGCCTGATTATGTTTTTAGAGTTGGTTGTTTTCAAAATTCATCATTTAAACCAAAATGTCTTTTCTAAATTTCTTTAATTTTGTGTCAAGTCAAATGTCAAAAACGTAAAATGGAACATGACAACATCACAAGCTCCTGAAAGGGGGTGCAAGTTTATAGGTTCCACACTCTCTAGACTTTGCAATTTTCCTCTATTTGGTTAAAATATTATGAAAAACATATTATTTCAAGAAAAACAAGTTTCTTAAAAATCAAGACAACGATCTCTTGACCAGAGTAAGAAAAATAAATTCCAATAGTAGAATTACAAGCTCATGGTCTCCTCCATAACCCCACTCCTTGATCACCCTAAGCTCACCACTTGCTCAGCTTTTCTTCTTTGACATACTTCTTGATAAAGAAGGTTTAACATTTTATGATCAAGTGAGATTATAGCTTTTTCTGTTCTTCATATATCTGATGGAAGTAATAATACTTACTAGCAGTTTAGCAAGTATACTATAAAAGGAGTAATTTTACAAAAATGTGTGTTGTTATAAAGATGATTGTTGTAAAAGGAAAAAGAACGTTATACAGAGGTAAAATACAACATAAAAAACCAATTCCCTAGTAAACTGTTGTTATAAAGAAGTTTTGACTTCACTTACATTTCTGTCTCTTTAGAAAGAGCAGTGAGATGATCAGACCATACAGACGAATGTAGCTCGACCACCTTACCAAAATGACTCCAGGGCCAGCCAAGTTTCTACATCAGGTGGTGTTGCTTCTTCAGAGAGCAGTTTAGACTCTCCTGATATTTACCCATTCCAGATGTCATCATCAGGAGCTGACGAAGTTAGGTACTTCGCGGGACAATCAACATCTAGCATGATTCTTCAGTAAGTTCTGCACTAGCGACGGAGATGAGGCATCTGGCAAGGAAGATAATGTTCAGACACCTACAAGGATAGTGCAAATAGCTTTTTTGGTACTGATCATGATGAGACTCAGTAGACTAATGATACCATCTTCAACCTGGCCTATTCCATTGGATATAGGGAAAGAGGGACCCTAGAAATATATCAACTTCTGATAATGCAGTGTATCATCTTTGTTTAGCTCCCTCATTCGAGTTTCTCCATAAATTGATCCAGAAAAACATAGATAAACAAATATGCTAAGTTGATTCTGTTCCACACTGGATTGAGTAGTGCATAAATATCACATGCAATAGCGATATGCAAAGGAATCATCATAACTATCATATGCAGTTGGAATACTGCAAATGAATCCAGCTATGACTTTCACACTAGCAAATAAAAGTAACCCCAGAGTACAGCATTTGACTGAATGATGCAATATATTCCATAAAAATTCTTGAGATGGCTTAAAGTTAATGCAAATACAGCTCAAATATGTACTGCATTTACGTTAAACTAAACGTTTGGGACTATGGCACTGTTATCTAGATTGAACACTTCATAATAGACAATTCATCTGCTTTGCACCAAATTAATACAAATAAAACCACTATAGATGCAGATCCTAAAGGCAATAACACTTATGTGATACAGGAACAGTTCATTTGCACCCAAAACACCTACAATTGTATATACACCATCCTTCACAAAGTGTGCCCTTCTTTAACAATCCAAATCCCCAAAAGACCATGGTAAATAAGTTCTCCACTTGGAGAAGCCCTCCAGACTACAACAGCAATAACAACAAACCCAATAAAATCCCATAAAGTGGGTCTGGGGAGGGTAGAGTATACACATGCCTTACCACTATCTCTCAGAGATAGAGAGTATGCCTCTGAAAGATCCTCGGCTCGAGTAAATCAAAACAGTCTGATATGATTGTATACTTATCTCCAGACTCCAAGTATAAAAAAGGGATTGTATGATAGCAGTCTGGTGAAAGGTGATTCACAGCTTTATAAAGAAAGGAATTACAATTGATGTCTGATGTGAACCTGGAAAATAAGCATTATATCACCTACATGATTGTAAAAGATATCAGCACTCAAATCTACCAAGAAATAATGATTTATTAAAAAGCTTTTATTTTAGCTAGGGATTTCAGCTTCTGAATGAGAGATTTCAATGGGAAAGTTGATATGATAAATGAAGAGCATTAGCAAATGAAGATGAACAAGCTATCAGAAAACTGAATCTATAAGCATATAAAGCGCGAAAACAAAAATTCCGGATGTCATCATCAGGAGCTGAAGAGCTAGGTACTTCGCAGTACAATCAACATCTAGCATGACTCTTCAGAAGGAAACCCCATTGTCAAGGTATGCACAAGTCAGGACATGACGCATCTGGTAAGATAATGATCAGACACCTAAAAGGATCGTGCAAAGGTCAATTAAGTGGAGAAGCCATTTTGGTGATGACCATGATGAATGATGATATCACTAGACTAGGGCTTAAGTCATCTGCGATCCCTTAAAGTTGTCTGCATAATTCATTTAGACACTTCAACTAGGACTGATACCTATTGAACACTTCTATTGTTCAGAACAAGTACCTATTTGACACTTTTCGCTGACATGGCAAGGAAGGTGTAATACACATCCATTCAGCGCGTCAGAACGTATTTTAGTTTTTTTTTTTTTAAATCTCTCTCTTCTTCCTTCTTCCTTCTTCCTTGGCCATAACTTCTTCCAAAACCAATACCATCTTCGCTGATGATGTTGCCACCAACACCTTCCACCCTTTTCTTTTCTCCTGCCTCCTCTTCCTCTCCCTCCCCCTCACCTCTATCATATTCAACTATAGAAACACCATTACGATTTCCTTTTCCATTTTCTTTAAATTTGTTAAATATTGTGATCTTATTTACGGGAAAAAATAGACCCATACAATGACTACTCTGTTTCTTCTTCCATTTTTTTAATTGAAAATATATCTAACAAATCAGATTTAAAATAAAAAAAAAACGAATATGCTTAGATGATTATGTAGTCAATGATTTAATTGATATCGAAAATTATAAGTGGTTCATATTTTGTAGGTTCATGTATTGATTAATTTTTAGGCATATGCAATTTGCTATTTTCAACTTAAAAAAAAAATAGATCTGAAAAAAGAATAGTGGGTTAAGAGGATTTGAAGGTGATGAAAACTATGGTCGAGGAGGGAGCTATGGTGACGAATAGGATTTCAAAGTGATGACAACACTTAAATTTTTTCTTTTTTCTTTTTTTTTTCCGTCAAAATGCCACATGTACGTAATTGATTTGTCAATTTTCCACGTCATCGCGAGTGTATTATACACATTTCATACTTTTAGGTGATTGTCAAAAAAGTGTTCAAAAGGTTCAAATCCGAATTAGTAGAGGTGTCCAATAAGTACAAGTCTTAGTTGAGGTGTCTAAGTGAATTATGCGGACAACTTAAAGGAGCCGTTCATGACTTAAGCCGTAGACTGGTGATACCATCTTCAACCTGGCCTATTACATTGGACATTGGTAGAGAGGAGGCTGTAAATATTCACTTGGAAAAAGAACATACCATTCTCTCCACTTAATGCAGCATCTGATGGTCATTTAGTCATTTCTGCTTACCAAGTGTTTGTGTCAACTGTCCCAGAATAGTCTTATGATGTCTTCCCTTCATGAACAAAACCATTGCAAAACTTACCAAATGACACAAGTAGAGGGACCCCAGAGATATCTCAACTTCTGATAATGCAGTATATCTTTTTTTAGCTCCCTCATTCGGGTTCCTCAATAAACTGATCCAGAACACAGAAAAAACAAATATGTTAAGTGGATTCTGTTCCACACTGAATTAAGTAGTGCATAAACTATCACATGCAATAGGCATATGCAAAGGAATCATCAAAACTATCATAAATGATTGGATACAGCAAATTAATCTATTTATGGCTCTAGTAAAGGAAAGTAACCCCAGAACACAGCACTTGACTGAATGAAGCAATATATTCAATAAAAGTTCTTGAGATGGCTCAAACTGTAACTTAAATACAACACAAATATGTACTGCATTTACATAAAACTAATTGTTTACGACTGAGGTGCTGTTATATAGATCGAACACTTCATAGTGAACAATCATCAGCTTTACACCAAATTAATTATTAATTATTAATTAAAAAAAACCCACTATATATGCAGATACTAAAGGCAGATAAAACTTTTGTGATACCGCAGCTGTTCATTTGCACCCAAGCACCAACAATCGTACACATCATCCTTCACAAAGTGTGTCCTTTACCACTCTAAACCCCCAAAAGACCATGGTAAATAAGTTTTCACTAGGAGAAGACTTGACTCTAGACTACAACAACAACAAATCCGATGAAACCCACAAAGTGGGGTCTGGGGAGGGTAGAGTGTAAGCACACCTTACCACTACCTCTCTGAAGTAGAGGGGTTGCTTCAAAAGTATACGATCTACATGATTGTAAAATATCATCAGTACTCACATCTACCCAGAAATAATGATTCATTAAAAAGCTTTTACTTTAGCTATGAACTTCAGCTTCCAAATGAGAGATGACAATGGGAAAGCCCTAATAATTTAAGCTGACATGATAAAATGAAGATTATTAGCAAATGAAGAAGACCAGGCTATCAGAACACTGAGTCTATACGCATACAAAGCAGGGAAACCAAACATTTTGAGGGTACCTTCAAATTCTATACGTTCCAAGCCAAGTGAAGTTTTTGTGATTGCATGGAACAGATTCCCCCACTTAATGAGAGTAAACCTTAATAGCTTCTGCACTTTACACTGCGCCACAAATTCAAACTACACTAAATGATAGTATTCAACTTCTCCGCCATACATTTGCAACTTCTGCCTGAAAGTAAGTGCCAACATCTTATATAATTTTCGCCTGACGGCCGTGACCTTAGCAGGTTTTACAAACCAAATGCAGAGACTATTGCATCACCTGTCAGAGAAATTATAAGGATCATGTTTAGAAGATTCTGAAAATTCATGTAGGTAGATTTGGATATAACCAGTTTGCTATCGATTGATAATGCAACATTTGTGCATCTTCGACACTGAAAATAGCTGACGCCTTATGGATCAGTTGGTAATACAGAGGAATGCTGGGCTCTTCTTTCACTCCCTGGCTAATTTGTCATTACTCAGATAACACCTTGTCAGTTCTCAAGTTATAAGACTTCCTCGTCTATCAGTACCAATTTTCCAATGATTTTCTAATGGCACACTCGCTCGCGTCTTAAGACAAAAGGTGATCATTTTTTTGCAAGTAAAACAAAAAGTAACGACACAGAGGAAGAGATACATGAAAACATTTTCACGAGATTGATACCTAGTATTATATCCTAGAATCTCCTTAGCCCAGTTATTAGTTTCCAAGAGAAGAGAGAATCTGTGAGTTCCTCTTTTTCCATCCCCAATGCATACTTCTCATAATTTAGTGAGAGAACCTGTTTATTATGGAAAACCACAACTGGAGTCCCCCACCCCCACTCACACACATAGACAGAGAGAGTATAATAAAGAAAAGAGAAGAAAGTGGCACTAGTTTTAAGAAAATAATTCTTAAGAGACATTTCCTAAACAAAGAAGAATATTTATGAAAGCTATTCCAAAATAAAAATCATCAATTATGGAGCTCTATGAAGGTCTCACGACATTCCTATTAGAAAGCCACACTCTATTTATTACAGTTGTTTTAAGCTCAATCACTAACTGCATAACATGCAAATGGAGACAGATAATTGACCATGAAAGAAAACTCAAAGATATCTTTATAAATTGTGAATGACAAAAAGTACATTGTTTAAAATTTTAAAATCTCAAGCTGAGGTTTTCAACAGCTTATTACTGTGCAAGAATCCTAAATTACCATCTTTCAAATGATTTTCTTTTGGTAATAAATATGATATATGTTGGCAGACAACAGATCTGCAAAGAAGCTATTTATGATGAAGTGGTCAACTAGGCTAAACCACATAACTTATCCGCCTTCAGCATCTGATAACTTTCTCAAGGATTCAACTCATTCTTTTTCTTCCCAAGAGACGCATAAATTGAATCCTTGTCAAAATAACTTCCACTAGCTTCAAGAGCCTTAAATTCGAATTTCAAACATGTGATTGGACTTCTGCTAATGCTGAAGAAATAGTCAAGGCTTCTAGCACAGGTTGAGTTTCTTCACTTGAGGTTTCCATTCTATACGATTTACAACTGAAGTAGAAAACAGTACTCATCATGGAGTCAATAAGTATCACAAATGAGTACAATATCACCAAAAGGGGCCCTTCCCATAATCTTGAAGATCCATCTCCATAGCTTATTGTCTTCACTCTATGCTCAAACAAACCCTGCACAATTGCCATCCCAATAGTTGATCCAAGAAATATGAGAAGTCCAACTTGTGTCTGCCCCTTGATGAGTGAACTGGACATAAGCAATGCTTGTGGTCCAGAGTCATCCTCTAAAACAGATATCACAATTGCAATGTTGCAAATAATAATAGCATTTGCTAAAATTATAGAGAAAATCATCCCTACTATCATTGCGGGATATAAAATCAAATCGGGAGGAAACCCCATGATCGAGAAAACACTGCTCACAGAAACAAGAAGTACAATAAACAATGTGAGGCATCCAGCAATCACCACACACACCCACAGGTAAGTCACAACAACCCGCTTCCAAATCTTGGTCATAATGACATAAAACTTTTGTGAATCAAACTTTTTCCTAGAGTAAGTGCAATCAACTGAATAAACTATAGCAGCTTTTGAAAACACCGATAACGTTACATACAGAGGGAAGCACATTACAGCTGAAATCACCACTTCAGAGAATTTATGACAGGACTGCTTGATAAATGGCTCAAGTGGAAGCCCACTTGTTTTGGCTACAAGCAATAACCTCATACTCAATCTCGTAACAAACGGCTGATAGACCAATACATTAGATAAAACAACGGCAGATACAGGGCAAATTAGCAATGCAGCAATTGTCATGAAACCTATTGAATTATACCGCAGAATTCTCACAGTTTCCCTCAAAATCTCTAGAGCACTCAAAGTAAGAAACTGGTGATCCGTATGTGAAACCAAATCAATAGATTCCAATTCAAATTTTTGATGATTTGGGTCATCTTTTTTACCTTCACCTGATGTAACTGAGTTCACTCTAGGACTCAGTCCACTGGAAATTTCCATCTTTAACCAAATTACAAACCACAATTTTTCTTTACAAAAACACAATTCTTGAGAACCAAAAGATACAAAAACACAAAATTACATGTCCCTTTAATCAACAGTATAATAAAAAGGAAGAAAAGATACTTATCACCAAAATCGGATCTACCCCTTTTGATCAGGTTTATTAAAATTCACTGTTTGTCAGCTCGAACCATGTATACACAATGTATAATAAATCGCACCCTCGGCCGGCTAACATTAAAATCTTGGATCTGTCTCTACGTATTAGCTCCAAAAAAATGGTACCCAGATCTGCAAGATTGAGTTGGGGAACTTTCACAGTGAAACTTGGATGACAGCTTTGTAAACCAAAAGGCTATATGCAAAACTCCAGACACAGAAAAAAAAATCGCTGAAACTGTATATAAGTGATCTGGATTAAAGAAATGAGCAGAAGAAGAGGGTCATGAAGTGCATATACGGTGCAGAAAAAGAGGAAAGAGTGAAATGGAAGAAGAACAAAGGAGGATGAAAGATCAGGTGATTTGGGGGATGAAGAAAGGTATCATAATGATGAGGGAGAAGAAGAAGGAAGAAGATTGGAAAGTGAGAGTGGAAGTGCCAAGATATAAAATATTTATCCCATCACTATTTATTTTTATCCCTCACACCAAACGATCCCTTATTGTCATTGATCGCCACTTTCACCATCATTGTCAGACATTATCATCGTTGCGGTTAGTCCTTGCTACCCATCATCTTTACCGTCACAACTTGCATCGCCACCGACAAATTGTCATCCAACATACATTCTTTAGTAACCACACTAAAACACAAATCACACTTATCATCACAACTGTCATCACTATCTTACTAGCGACTAACATCAGTTATTACCATCATTATTTGTCGCGATCCAAATTGCTGCGATTGACACTCATACTAAACCCTTATCGGCGAACTAAATCTTAACGTACAACACATATAATCATCTAAGCAAGTTATCGAATCATTAACAAAGTGATTAAAAATTTTCATAATGAAATTAATAAAAACAAATGGAAATTTAACTACTACATTCCCGAAATTCAAAACTCATCGTACTAAAACTCTAACACAAGTATATAGATAAATATGATATAAGTATGTACTGTTTCTAACATAATCCCTTTATCATCACTAGACCTTACCTAGTATGTCGATTCATTAACTACTAAGAAATGATCACCAATCAATATAATCCATAAACCCACTTCATAAACAAGTTACAAAATAATGAAAATCATATCCACACTGGCCTTGTAGTTGTTGATGTTGTCCAAGCTATACCCTTTTATGGGATTAAAATGGTTGATTGCAAATACAATAATCCAATTAGGTTGAGGTTGAATTCCATAGAGAGCGTACTAGAGTTTTTTTACCATTTGTATCGAAATTCAAATCAGTAACTACTGTTGGAAAATAGAAGGTATTGAAAATTACTAACTACTTTAACTAATTGGATTCTTATCAGTAATAAAGATAAACTAGGGTTACAAGACTTGGATATCAGAAGTCAAGCAAATACTTTATTATCAACTCATTCAAATATTTTCATTGTGCAAAACTAAAGAATACATAAGTTTTCTAATGTCTCTTGGCTCAATTCAGAGAATATCACCTAAGTCTTTACCGTCATTTAGGTGTTAAATTAATTTGTTCATTCATCAAAAGCCTCAAGTTAACTATCCTCTTTTGAGCTCAAACTATTGGACGGTGATTGGTAGCACCAAGTCCCTATCAATGATCACGTTTCCTAATATTACTTTTTTAGTCAAGCAAGAATACATACAAATTCTTAATGTTTGTAATCTTTTAAAAAAATCTTTACTAAAGAACCTTAATACACAATAATCACCCTTCATGATAAGATATTTGTTGTAAAGAATACATTATCGTCATCCCTACTCCAAGTTTCATAGCTCTAGTTATGAATTTAGCTACTTAAAACTAGTGGTAAACAATAATGAAAAAATTAAAACAACTAAAGAAAATTAATTGAGAAGAAAGCAATAACAACCTTTGATTTATACAACTCTTTCGAGGGAATCTCGTTTGTTCCACAATAAGCTACTAAAACTGCAAAGAAGACCCTAAAACTAAGAATAATGGATCTTCTGATCTGTATGAATAAGTCATAATCTTCTACTAATAATATGTAATTCTAAAAACTTCACCACAAAGACAAATATATAGTAGTAGGATTGATACCCTAATTCGATTGAACTCTATTAATGAGGTCAAATACAGTCTGATAGACATGGGTTGTGATGTGGGGCATATGGCGAGGGCAACTGTCTCGTGACATAGGGTCCATCTCAGATTATCATCCTTTGGTTGAGTGTCTAAAGTTTAGTTGTTGGATAATTGCACTACAACACCCATTTTAGGATCCTTCATACAATTATTTTTTCTTGGGAAAATACCCAAGTACCCCCTCAACCTATGCCCGAAATTCCAGAGACACACTTATACTATACTAAGGTCCTATTATCCTCCTAAACTTATTTTATATGTAATTTTCTACCCCTTTTTAGCCTACGTGGCACTAGTTCAAAAAAAAAGTCAACCATCATTGAGCCCACAAGATAGTGCCACGTAAGCTAAAAAGGGGTAAAAAATTATTAATAAAATAAGTTCAGGGGAGTAATAGGACCTTAGTATAGTATAAGTGTGTCTCTGAGATTTCGGGCATAGGTTGAGGGGGTACTTGGGCATTATCCCTTTTTTCTTTGTCTTAGTCTGGATTGCTCAGTTTTGCGTTTCAATTCATCTCATAAGTCTTTTCTTGCTGCTTTTGGCCTAAAAAATTATCTCAATCATTTCTATTAGCTTATCATAACATGTAATCAATAAAAATATGAATATTTACAAGATTATACCTAGAACGTCACTAAAACATTGATAAAATATGGTGTTTAATTACATAATTACACTCTAGACATCCATGTAAATCCTACATCTTACCAGTCATCTTTAGCAATCACTCAATAAAGTAAAAAAATTGTCTCTTATATATATATACACACACACACACAAATACACACACGCACGCACGCACACACATTCTAAAGGGTCTTCATGTATTCTATCTAGTTATGAACTATATCATGTACCATACCAACAACACATCAGACTTGAGCTACTAATTACCAGAATAGTAAGTATATGTTACCTTGTGCACATATCTCAACATGTTAGCCTCTTCGATCATCTCTTAGGACAACACATTAGCTATAAAATAATTAAAAGTTCACAATTCATAATATTAGTCAAATAGATAGTTCACATGCTTAGCCACACATGCAATCATCAATTCAACCATTAACAAAACACAACTAGGTCCGAAGACTAGTTAATATGCTATACAACTCATACCTCATACAAAACTAAGCAAAGTATAACTTTAAATAAATAACCTACCTCAACCAAAGATCTGAGAACGAACAAGCTAAATAACTAGAGACTTTTCTTTTCTCACAACCACAAAATTCTTAAAGTATAATAAAAACAAAATATGATAGTACTTTAATAATATATTCCATCAAGCAAAGTTTTTTTTTTATACAAATTCACCTAATTCTACTTTTTATATGATTTAACTATTTATCTAGAAGTTATATCATCATACATGAGGTTTCCATGATCACATCCGTCTCAGTTATGGAGTTTCATCCCCGTGAACCCCTTTAGAGCAATTCATATGCTTGAACAATCCATTTTATAGAGTTTCTAGTTTCCTCAAAGCCATAGTTAATGAATAATTCATAATTCTATAAGAAAATAAGAACAATTTTTTTTAGAACAACATAAACATACTCCCAATATGCTGTCCCACCAAGTTAAATAATTTTCAAACCCACAAATTTCTATAAGGATCATGCCTTTAAATTTTAACTGGAAATCAAATTAAGATTGAAAATATAGATAAATAACACTTAATTTTTGAGAGGAAAAGTCCTAGTCCTTGGAAAAATCATCATTGGGATTCTCTAGTCAAATATTTTTAGTTCTGACTTAAATTGAGTAAAAGATGACATAAAATACGATATTCTTTTTCAGGACTTATGCTATGGAAAAGAAATGCTTTGCTATGGTGAACCTCTGCAAGATGTAAATCTTCGTCATGGCTAAATATTATTTTCTATAGAGATGTCTCTATGGTGAAACCCTACTTTGCCATGGCGAAGCCCTAGCAGTGAGCTAACCCATCTTTTAATTCTAATTTTTTTCAACTCTTAACCTATAGAAACCTATACGAGGGTATTATGATCCCTAACCAATCATAGTTACGAAAAAATCATTGTATCAAATATCAAGTAAACACATGTTCATTCCCGAACATACAAAATTGGAAGAATAAAATGAAAGAAAAGGATACCTAAATTCACGAAAAGTTGAGGAGATCTGCTATGCATATCGAATTTGGTCTCCCAACTGATCCTGTACAAGGAAGTTCTTCCATTAGACCTTAATAGATAAAATCACTCTGAATTTCAACTTCTAGACCTCCATATCTTGAATAGTTACAAGCTCCTCCTTATAAGATAGACTCTTGTCAAACAACACAAGTTCTCATGAAATGATATAATTTCCATTGCAATAGAACTTATGCAGTATAGACACATGAAATACTAGATAAACACTAACAAACTTTGAGGCAAAGACAACTCATATCTTACATCTCCTACTCGCATAAGATCTCAAAAGAACAGATGAATTGTATGCTCAACTTACCTTGATTCTCAAACATCATCCCACCTTTTATAGTCTAAGTCTTGAGAAAGACTCTCTCTCCCACCATGAATTTCATATCTTTAACCTTTTGATCTGCTTATTCTTTTTGTCTATTTTGAGTTGTCAAAAACTTCTTCTGGATTCACTTGACCTTCTCCAAGGATCTTCTTAGAAGATCATTACCCACAGTCTCATCTTAAGAACATCAAATCCAAGAATAGAAGATCTATATCTCCTCTCATATAAAACCTCAAATAGAGTCATTTCAATGTTTGAGTGGTAACTATTATTATAAGCGAGCTCAGCCAATGATAATAATTAGTCCTAATGACCACCAAAGTCTATTATACACATGAAAAATATGTCCTCCAAAAATGAATAGTCTTCTTATACATCCTATCAATCTTATAGTGAAAAGTTTTACTAATATCAAGCCTCGTATCCTACTGATCAACCTGCAAGGTTCTTTAAAAATTATAAGTAATTTCTGTACCTCTATATGAAATTATGGATATTAGGACCCATAAAACTGAACAATCTCTCAATGATAGATCTTTTGATAATTATTCAACATTATTTTATGTTTAGGTAATTTCTTTTACTTTATGTTCAGGGACTAGAATCATTTTTAGTGATGAATAATGTAACTACCCGAAAGGTCATTTTTGAATTTTTAAAAATAAAATTACCATTTACCCTTTCTAATAGTTGCCCTAAATCATTTAAAATCAGTTTGTGAGGGTTGATTTCAAAATTTGAAGAAAATGTTGTAATTTTGAAGTTTTAAGTTTTGAAAGATTAGGTTGTTCAAAAGTGGTTTTCAGTGTCAAATTAGCATATCGAGTCTTAGAATGAGATTTTGTCAACTCCA